CAAAGTGCTCTCTCTGTGAAAGGATCTGCAGTTTGGAACTCACTCCCTGTCAGTTTAAAGTCTGTAACCAGATTCAGTATGTTTAAAAAACAAACTAAACCATGGCTGTGTCAAAAACAGCATTGCATTCATGCTTAATGTATTTTATTGTTTTAATCCATTTGTTTTATGTGTATGACTCTGTTTATGTTGTTAATATTATTTTTAATCATTTTACTCTTTTATTACCATTCCACTTCCTAGTAGTAACTTATGCCCCTTTTCCACTGTCACAGAGCGGATCAGATCAGTTCGGGTTGGTTCAGATCGGTTCGGGTCTGTTGTGTTTCCATGTACATTTCTGGACCAGCTCTGTAGGCGGGGACTAGAATCCAACCCGTCTTACCACCTGGTGGCGGTAGTGCTCCCTTAAGCTACTTACTAGCCACCACTAAACGTATTAGAAGAAGAACACCCTGAAGGTTTTGTCACACGATGTTGTGGAAAAGATGTCTTGCTCTAATGGAGTACCTCATGAGCTGTAACTTTAGACCTGATTCATAATCCTACCTTACTGCCTTCCCTGCTGCTTTAAACCCATGTGTTTTTCATTTTAGTATAGATTTTTACAATAAAGATGTATTAAAAATATCTTCACTTTTATTATTTGCAGATATGCACAAGGTTCATGTTAAAATTGCAAAACATCGCACTGTGCTGTAATCTTTGAAACTGCTTTTACAATAAGATACAGACTTGAAAACAATTAGATTAAATTTTGTCCTTGAATTTTAAAGATTTGTCTTTCATTAAATTAAAACATAAATTTATTACGTATTAATCTAAAAAAAGTTAAGTCTGGTCCTCTGGACATTCAAAAAACAAAACTAACAAAAAACATTTAGTTTATTTATTATGAACTGTATTGTTTGTTTTGTGAATGTCCAGAGGACCAGACTTAACTTTTTAGATTTTTCTACCTGGATTATTGAGCAGCATCAGGATATTAATTAATAAATAGTCAGTTGGTCTGTGAACACCATGGGGTCCTAGAAGAGTTGAAGAGGAGGCTGTTCATGTCTGTGCCTCCCTGGTGAAGATGCTGCTCCCACAACCCTGAAGCAGAAGAGGATGGATGGATGGATGGATGGATGGACGGGTGGCGAAGGAGGAGACCATCAAACAGCAGGAGTGGTCAGTTCAGGTGAACTCCTGCCTGTTTGCTTCAGATCAGCTGTTCAAATCTCTGCAGGTTCAAATAAAAGGTGCACCAGGACTTTCAGCTGAATCTCTCAGGCCACAGTTGTATGGCCAATAACTGATAACTGATAACTGTCCTTTCTGAATTTTTGACTGTTTTTGTGTCACTTCATCCTAGAACCAAAAAATTATAACATAATAACAGTTGAGCAGATACTAGTAATCTTTTCTTAGGATCCATTAAAGATCAAATGCAATTGGAAATTCTTCTCAATTCCAGTATGAATTTAAACAAACACTATATGAACTTAACATTGTAAAATTTGTTTAGGAGATTTAATGTTCAAGGACACCACTTAAGAAAAAAATTGTTTAATAGGAAAAGTAAGAAGTGAAAAATGTACAAAAATAAAAACTACTGCGTCCAACTAATGATTGTGTCTGTCCCTTGTCTCACGGGCTTCATCCAGAAGAAGACACAAGTGTTGTTCCTGCTGTGTCCGGTTCAGTTCTTCATGTTCATTTAGTGATGAAATAAGACTTTTCTTTACTGGACTCTTTTCTCTTTCTCTTCACTAGAAAGAAGAAACAGGTGGTTAATTCAAGCTACATACTGTTTTTGAATAAATGCATGAAACAAAGAAAGGTGCTGCTAACAGCTATAATAGATATATTAATAATAATAAACTGATCAAATAAGAAAATGAAAAATAAATTGATTTAAAAATAATGAAAATGATAATAATGGATATATGAATCAGAAAGTATTATACAGATGCAGATATTCTTTGTCATTCGCACCACATGTGGTCCATGTGGTGGATCAAAATTATGTTCACAGGGTCCCAGTTACATCCAACAATAAAATATAAAAGAAAAACAGTAATAAGATCTAAGATATGAACTAATAAAAACATCAACTAAAAATATAAGCTCTAATAGCATAAAAACATTAAACACAATACGCAGAATGGACATGAGTCTGTGTGAACAGACGAGCATGCATGAACACAGCAGCATGAAACAGATCAGCAGCAACATGAAACTGATCAGCAGCAACATGAAACTGATCAGCAGCTACATGATGTGATTCTTCACAGTGTTATATATTCATGAGGCTGCACAAACTCAAGTTCATGTTGCTGTTTGACGTATTGTTTTGATTGTTTAAAGCTATTAGTGCTTAGTGTTTTATTAGTAGATGTTTTTTAGTTGATATTTTTCTTAGTTCATATCTTAGATCTTATTACTGTTTTTATTTTACATTTTGTTGTCTGTAACTGGGACCCTGTGTACATAATTTCATCCCAATTCAGTATTTATTCAACATTTTAGTTTTTTACTTTAAAAATAAAATAAATCAAGTCCTTATCGGCACAAATAAAGTGATGTGGAACATGTTGCATCTTACCGAGCACAGAAGCTGCAGCGTTGTGCTGCTCTGTGAGGTGCAGGTGGGCTGTGATGGAGACCTGTCAGGTGTAGACTCCTCTGATGGAGCAGGAGCAGGAGCCGGGAGGCTTGGAGGGTTTAATGTGGAGTTTAGAGACGAACCGTCACGCGCTGAAAGACGTTCTGGATAAAATACAGTGAGAAACGGGACCGGAGGACAGTTAGCATTTATGCAAATTAGCTTAGCATCGTAGCACCGACGTTGTACTATTATGGCGTCAGCCTCTTTTGTTAGTTAAAAATATGTTCAGAACCGATGGGATGAGTAATTTAAAATATGTTTAAAGTTAGAAAACACTCACCATCTTCTATAAATGGTTCAAGTAGAGCAGTAGTCGTGTCCAAACCACCCTCCAATCCTCCATCTAGCTCGCTTTGACTTTTTTCGTCGGCCACCAAGCACAACAACACCTGCACTTCTGCATTTGACCAGGGCTTTGATATTATTGTTGTTGTATAGCTTCAAAATACTAAAATATACGCTCCTCATGTTATCGCTAATGGCAAGCGGTAGAGAAAAAAATGGTGGATCGGGTTGTTTGGAAAGATTCCACAGACTCCTCCCCCCGACCAATCAGTGACCGACAGTGTTTCTGACGTCACGGCGCGGCTCGCTCGGAACCCTTGAGAAGCCGGGCCAGAATTTAGCGAGGCGAGCCGGTTTCTGGAACAGTGGAAAGACCTCAAACGCGCTTCAACCCGGAAATATCCAACCCGCGCCGTGACGGTGGAAAAGGGGCATATGATATCCTGTTTAAAAGCCCATTTAGGGACAAGTGCTGCAAATTAGCTCATAATAAGCACCAAGATTTGTCTAATGTTATTGTGTATCAGACCCTATCATTCAACCTTTATTTATACAGGTTAATCCCATTGAGCCTTGGAGACTCATTTACAAGAGAGACCTGACTTCTTTAACAAAGAGTGATGATAACAGTGGATAACAACAACCACAACAATAAACAGTCACAAAAGTGGCATCAAAATGGAGTCAATTAAAAATTGAGCTGGAAAAGTGTAGAGTGCCCTCTCTGGGTCAGGGAGGAGGTCCTGCCCCAAGTGGAGGAGTTCAAGTATCTTGGGGTCTTGTTCACGAATGAGGGAAAAATGGAACGTGAGATCAATAGGCGGATATGTGCAGTGTCTGCAGTGAAGCGGGTAATGTACGGGTCTTTCGTGGTGAAGAGAGAGCTGAGTCAAAAGGCGAAGCTCTCAATTTACCGATCAATCTATGTTCCAACCCACTTCTATGGTCATGAGCTTTGGGTTGTGACCGAAAGAACAAGATCTCGGATACAAGCGGCTGAAATGAGTTTTCTCCGCAGGGTGTCTGGGCTCTCCCTTAGAGATAGGGTGAGAAGCTCGATTATCCGGGACGGACTCAGGGTAGAGCCTCTGCTTCTCCATGCCGAGAGGAGCCAGTTGATGTGGCTCGGGCATCTGGTTAGGATGCCTCCTGGACACCTCCCTGGTGAGGTGTTACAGACACGTCCCACCGGGAGGAGAACCAGAGAAAGACCCAGGACACGTTGGAGGGACTATGTTTCTCAGCTGGCCTGGGAGCGCCTCGGGATTCTGCCGGAGGAGCTGGCCCAAGTGGCTGGGGAGAGGGAAGTCTGGGCCTCCCTACTTAAGCTACTACCCCCACGACCCAACGCCGGATAAGCGGAAGAAAATGGATGGATGGATGAATGGATGGAAAAGAGGCATACTTTTTTTTTTTTAACAAATCAAAACAAAATAGCAACCAAAAGGACAGTCAAAAGGAAAAGTAGGGGGCGGGGGGGGGGGGGCAGCTAGATTGTAAGGCGGTGTAGAAAACTAAAAATAGGAACATGTCTGCATTGATTTTTGCCAGTAACGTAACAAATGTTTAAAGCCACTTGGAGAGGTCAAGGTTGAGAGCTGCAGATCTTTTTACAAGAAATTCCAAGAAACAGGAGCGGAGTAGGAGAAGGCCCTTTGCCTAGTTCAGTCTTCAATGAGGGAACACTGCAGGTAATACTGTCCTGAGAGTGCATGCTGTAGCTGCACTCACGCAGAGACATGTAGGAGAAGTTGTATGAAGGCAACATACCAAGAAGTGATTTGTGAAATGAAAATGCACCATTGAGAGACTCTGCGTGAAGTTAACGATGACCGGTTAACCAGTGAATACAGGGTGCAATGGTGGGTACGGTAGTTACAGCCAGTTATGAATCTTAGCGCGTCATGATAGACAGCACCCAACATCTTCAGGGTGCTTGTAGGGTGTTCATGTAAATAATATCACCGTAGTCAATGGAGGGAAGGAAAGTCACAGTTAGAAGGTGTTTCCTAGCATTCAGAGCTAGACAGAATCTATTTCTCAAAAAGAAACCCAGTTTAACCTGATGCATGCTCAATAATCCAGGTAGAAAAATCCAACAAAGTTCAATCTGGTCCTCTGGACATTCAAAAAAACAAAAAACAAAAAACAAAGCAAAAAAATCTAGAAACGTTTCGTCTCTCATCCAAGAGACTTCCTCAGTCTGAGGTGCTGTTTTCAGCTCAGTCTCTTAAATAGCACCATCTCAGAGTGGATCAACCAGTTTGCTGCTGACAACCAAAACCAGCTGATCACATGCTCAAGAAGGACCATCAGCCTAACAATGGGTCATTAGCACACTGATGGCTGTTTACTACTCACAGAGGGCTGAGTGATACTAGCAATCACAGCATTGTAAGAGGGGGACAGTTGAACCCGGAGGCCTCCACCCCTGTTTAATGATGGACGATTTCTTTTCACAAAGATGGCCTCCTTTACTCCTCTCTCAAACCATTGTTCCTCTCTGTCCAGGATGTGAACATCTTCATCCTTGAAAGAGTGACCGCTGGCCTGGAGATGAGTGTAGACCGCAGAATCCTGGCCTGATGATGTTGATCTTCTGTGCTGGGCCATCCTTTTGGCCAGTGGCTGTTTAGTTTCCCCGATGTAAGACTGATCACAGCCCTCCTGACACTGAACAGCATACACAACATTACTCTGTTTGTGCCGGGGGACTGGATCTTTGGGATGAACCAGTCTTTGCCGTAATGTATTTTGGGGTTTAAAAGCCACTGGGACGTTATGTTTAGAAAATAAACGTCTCGGTTTCTCTGATACCCCCTCAACATACGGAATGACCACTGGTCTGGGTCTGGGTTCCTCCTTTTCACCTGATGGCTGACTGGAGTCCTGTTTGGGTTTCTTCTCTGCTTTCAGGAAGGCCCAGTTAGGATATCCACATTGCTCTAGAGCCTGTTTTGTGTAGGATTTCTCCTTCTGCCTGGCTCCCGAGCTAGTGGGGATGCTGTCTGTTCTGTGATACAGAGTCCTGATGACTCCTAACTTGTGCTCCAAAGGGTGATGGGAGTCAAACTGCAAATACTGGTCTGTGTGGGTGGGTTTGCGGTACACCTCGGTTTGCAAATGTCCTCTATCAGAGACTGAGACCTCACAGTCCAAGAAAGCCAACTTGCCATTTTTTACATCTTCTCGTGTGAACTTGATGTATTTATCCACAGAGTTGATGTGGTCAGTAAAATGTTGGACTTCCTGAGATTTAATTTTAACCCAGGTGTCGTCAACATACCTGAACCAATGACTTGGTGGTGTCCCTGAAAAGGACGTCAAGGCTCTCTTTTCTACCTCCTCCATGTACA